AGTGTCAGTATTCTATTATAAAAAGATTTCAACCTGGATTTACAAGGATAGAATAAGATTATCCATGGGCAAAATCACATTGTATTACATTAACTAAATGTTCATGTAGAATATGGACTATGAAGGATTTCCAGTTTTACTTTCATGTTTAGTAAACTGCATCAAGACGCAAACAGGGCTCTTTCTTCGCAAAATGTAACGTGTACAAGAATTGAAAAGCTAATTTGCAAATACAGATGTCTTCATTTTGACATTTTGTCAAAAAGTTTCATTCCTTTGACTAAAATATTCCAAATGCATTTTAAATATTTTTTTTTTTTAAGAAAAGATGAGGCTTAATTTGTGATTAAGTTGTAATTAATTGGTATGGCACTGAAATAGGTCTGGCTTTCCAGAAAACAGGGCAAAGGATAAAATATAAGCCTTTCAAACATTTATTTTTTCAATTCATTTTTTTACTGTCATGGCACTTAAGTGTTTTTTTTTTTCCAAAGTAACACGAATGAAAAAGTATTGTCTATTGTGGATACCACATGTTTAACTTCGTCAGTTAGTTAGCTTACCTGTAAAATAACAACAGACATCATAATTATTTCAACTCATCAATGTACTTTTTGCAAGAATATCCCAGCATGCAAAATGACAAAGTTTGGACTTGCTATATATTATTACTCTGTGCTTTTCTCTCCCAGACCTCTGCGTGTCTCTGCTCCGCTCACGCGCCCTTCTCCAAGCAGGAAGTAGACAAGTCACTGCGCAGCCTCAGCCGACCAAAACACGGAAGTAAAGACAGATCTCATTTCACTCCGCAACGGCTGCAAATTAATATGAGTTTTACCTGCAAAGTAACGTATGACCATCGGTTCGAGGCGAAGGTTTACAACAGCCGATTATACTAAACGGAGATTTGCTAAAAATAATAATAATAATAGCTCCTGCCTCACAGTGGGAAAGTAACTAATAGCATATACAAACGTGCTGGGGGAAAAAAACATAACAAAAGCAGGTGAGTGAGTGCGTAGCTGACATGCTAGCTGAGTTGCAAAGTCCATTTTGTATTTTAATTGAGTGTGAATACTGCGTGGGGAAAACACTGGACTAAACAAGGGCAAGTTTGTGTCTGCATTGCAATACAGCACTTTTCACCCCTCTTCTCCCGGTTGTGTATGTGTCAGCAGGAGAGAAAAGACTACTGAAGCTGCCCATGAGAGGAAGAGGAGGAGAGTAAGAGGAAGGCAAGAAGTGCAAGTTTAGGACGTCTACACACTCCTCATCTTTCATGTTCACTCCTGCAGTGAGAAAACTATAGAGGGCGAGGAGAATGAAGACCGGGATATGAGCCAAACAAGGAAAGGTCAGGGCCTGGTGAAATATAGAGGGAGGAGAGAGGGGAAAAAGACAAAAGGTTGGTAATGCAAAGGTTACGGGCATATGAACTCAGCGTTTTGTGTTTGGAAGGAAGCTTACAATGCAGCAGTGCCCTTTCTGCAAAACACTGCAGACTTGTGGGTATGCAAAGTAGCCGAGATTGAAATTAGTGGGTAATAAGTTGGTATGGTAGCATACTGCAAAATGGAAGTATTGGTACAATTGGTCTGCTGTAACTCTGTTGAGACTCTTAAACCATTTTAACAATCTTGTACGACACTTTATTGAACCTACATAACAGGCTTCATCTATAAAACAATAACTTTGAACTTTTGAATATTAAACACTAGAGCTGCAACTAACAATTATTTTGTAATCGATTAATCTATTGATTATTTTTACGATTAATCGAGTAATCGCTTGGCTGTGAATTGTGTAGAAAAAAAATATTTTTTCATCACAAAAAGCTAAAGTGGCAACACTCGAGGACGTCTTGATGGCGTAAACTTAAAGTAAATGTTTGTAACAGGCTCTTTGTGCTAATTCTGCTATCTGATTGGATGAGACAGACAGATATTCATGAAATTATAAAAACAAAGTCGGTTTTAATCAAAAATACTACATTTTCATGTCATTTTTGCTCTGTTTGAGTCCGTGTGAACCAGAAAACGATTAATCGATTACTAAAATAGTTGTCGACTATTTCAATAATCGATTAGTCGTTGATTAGTTGTTTCAGCCCTATTAAACACTTTGTATTTTTACACAGGCAACATATGTCATCTTCATTTGACAATATGGCTGACATATGTAATCAAATCAATCAAATTCAATGATTACACAAAAGCTTTGATTGTCTTTTCGATTATGTGAAACTTGTTTGAAATGATTTTTGCGTATTGTTCGTTTAAAATATGATTTCTGTAATAGACTCTTTGTGATTTGATAGTTGCCAAAATACTATATTAGTTTGATTGTGATTATTCTTACAGCCCTAGTATTTACGTTAAACACAAAGGTGAAGATCAAACTTGACCCAAGTTTGTATACAATATTGTATACAATATTGCATATTGTAATATTGCATATTGTATACAATGTACCACAGCTACATGTTTAACAATATCCACATTGCAGCTTACATACATTTTCTACTTTCAACAATTTTATATAGTAGGAGTTCACACTTTTGATTTACTCTGTCACAGCTCGACCTCATGTGTATTGACAAACTGCAGAGGTCACTGACACATATAGCCACAGCCTGGGGCGACACTATTTGCTCAAATCCTGTTTTATGTGATCAGTGTGCCAGGAGTTTGAAATGATTTTTGTGTATTGTTCGTTTAAAATATGATTTGCCAATGAAAAAAGAAAATAAATAAAACAAATGTCAATGCTTTACATTAAATAAAAATGCAAAAGACGTTCTTAATTTAAAATAGTTATTACTTAATGACTTATTTTGGCATACCATCTTCTTTTTCTGTAATAGACTCTTTGTGATTTGATAGTTGCCAAAATACTATATTGGTTTGATTGTGATTATTCTTACATCCCTAGTATTTACGTTAAACACAAAGGTGAAGATCAAACTTGACCCAGTGTTAAAATTACAGTGCCTTGCGAAAGTATTCGGCCCCCTTGAACCTTTCAACATTTCGCCACATTTCTGGCTTCAAACATAACTTCAAAGATATAAAAATTAAATATGTTGTCAAGAATCAACCACAAGTGGGACACAATCGTGAAGTGGAACGAAATTTATTGGATAATTTAAACTTTTTGAACAAATAAAAAACTGAAAAGTGGGGCGTGCAATATTATTCGGCCCCCTTGCGCTAATACTTTTTAGCGCCACCTTTTGCTGCAATTACAGCTGCAAGTCGCTTGGGGTATGTCTCTATCAGTTTTGCACATCGAGAGACTGGAATTCTTTCCCATTCTTCCTTGCAAAACAGCTCGACCTGAATCCAATCGAGATTCTCGATTGGATTCAGGTCTGGACTTTGACTTGGCCATTCTAACACCTGGATACGTCTATTTGTGAAGCATTCCATTGTAGATTTGGCTTTATGTTTTGGGTCATTGTCCTGTTGGAAGATAAATCTCCGTCCCAGTCTCAGGTCTTTTGCAGACTCCAACAGGTTTTCTTTCAGAATGGTCCTGTATTTGGCTCCATCCATCTTCCCATCAATTTTAGCCATCTTCCCTGTCCCTGCTGAAGAAAAGCAGGCCCAAACCATGATGCTGCCACCACCATGTTTGACAGTGGGGATGGTGTGTTCAGGGTGATGAGCTGTGTTGCTTTTACGCCAAACGTATCGTTTTGCATTGTGGCCAAAAAGTTCGATTTTGGTTTCATCTGACCAGAGCACCTTCTTCCACATGTTTGGTGTGTCTCCCAGGTGGCTTGTGGCAAACTTTAAACAAGACTTTTTATGGATATCTTTGAGAAATGGCTTTCTTCTTGCCACTCTTCCATAAAGGCCAGATTTGTGCAGTGCACGACTGATTGTTGTCCTATGGACTCTCCCACCTCAGCTGTAGTTATCTGCAGTTCATCCAGAGTGATCATGGGCCTCTTGGCTGCATCTCTGATCAGTCTTCTCCTTGTTTGAGATGAAAGTTTGGAGGGACGGCCGGGTCTTGGTAGATTTGCAGTGGTCTGACACTCCTTCCATTTCAATATAATTGCTTGCACAGTGCTCCTTGAGATGTTTAAAGCTTGGGAAATCTGTTTGTATCCAAATCCGGCTTTAAACTTCTCCACAACAGTATCTCGGACCTGACTGGTGTGTTCCTTTGTCTTCATGGTTCTCTCTGCGCTTTAAACAGAACCCTGAGACTATCAAAGAGCAGGTGCATTTATACGGAGACTTGATTACACACAGGTGCATTTTATTTATCATCATCAGTCATTTAGGACAACATTGGATCATTCAAAGATCCTCACTGAACTTCTGGAGTGAGTTTGCTGCACTGAAAGTAAAGGGGCCGAATAATATTGCATGCCCCACTTTTCAGTTTTTTATTTGTTAAAAAAGTTTAAATTATCCGATAAATTTTGTTCCACTTCATGATTATGTCCCACTTGTTGTTGATTCATGACAAAAAATTAAAATGTTATATCTTTATGTTTGAAGCCTGAAATGTGGCGAAATGTTGAAAGGTTCACGGGGGCCGAATACTTTCGCAAGGCACTGTACATCTCACAGCACTTAGATTTGTTGGAGTCTGTAAATGGAGCAGTTGATGATAAAGCAATTACTAAAATAGTTGTTGACATTAGCTGTGTTGAATCGATTCATTGTTAAAGCCCTTATTTGCAGAGCTCTCTAATGTGTATCTTAATCAATAATTACACTATCATTGTTTTATACACTGCACAAGTTTGTCTGAGACCTTTCTCTGCTTAGTGGACATGAAGTTGAAATCGTAATCTCTCCTTAGGGTGCTGCTGTACCTCATTAAACCTCATCTGTCATAGTAATATTAGCAGGGATTAGTCTTTTGCGTTTTGGACTTTCCACAGTGAAAATTTGAGAACCATTTGCTGAAGGTCACTGCTATTTTTAAACCGTTCTGTCTGTGCCTCTTCCCTGATCCCACAGAAGTGTTTTTCTAACGCCATGGACGACCAAGGGGAACCCCAACCAGGTGCCAGCGGCCTCACAACAGAAGAACTGCCGCAGATGGACGGATCATGTGACGCTTGCGAGCCGGACGAGCCCCAGCCGGCCACACAAGTCTGCCACACATGCAGCTTCGCCTTCTGCCCACTTCATGCCGACAATCACACCAGTCGCACAAATCACCCTCTAATGCCTTATCACCAGGCAGAGGCACTGGCTCATGAACTTGGCACGGACAGCGGCCTCGCAAATGATGCGGTCGAGAAGCGAGCTGTCAATGAGGGCGTGGTGGTCGAAGCGGTAAATGGGGCAGACCTGGAGGGAGCGGTGACCGACGGAGCGCCTTTGGCCGACGGGGCAGAAGGCGGCAGCGACGACGGAGAAGCAGCTGCCGATCCAGGGAATAAGAACACGGTGACGGTGGAGAGGCTGCGCTGTAAGATACACGGCCAGGAGGGGTCGCTGTACTGTAAAACGGACGAGAAGATTGTGTGCGTGGTTTGCGCCGTGCAGGGAGAGCACAAAGAGCACGAAATCATCACTCTTTATGAGGGCTGGGTCTGGCAAAAGGTGAGACAATCCCTGGTAATGCATCAAAAGTGATGAAGGAAACTGTTTAAAAGTGTGTGGGATGTAGAGCAGGCAAAGTTCTGCAGGGATCCAAGATATGTTTGCAATGCACACCACATAAACTAGGAAAAATTAAATATTATTCAATGAATAATATACATTCTGCATATTGTATACAATGTACCACAGCTACATGTTTAACAATATCCACATTGCAGCTTACATACATTTGCTACTTTCAACAATTTTATATAGTAGGAGTTCACACTTTTGATTTACTCTGTCACAGCTTGACCTCATGTGTATTGACAAACTGCAGATGTCACTGACACATATAGCCACAGCCAGGGGCGACACTATTTGCTCAAATCCTGTTTTATGTGATCAGTGTGCCAGGAGATGCAGAAATATGTCAATGATATAACTGAAAATGGGGCATATGATTAATTAGTTAAAATCTAATTAAATCTACTTGCTTTTTGAATGAATGAAACATGCACCGTAGTAAATCATGTTCTATTTCTTCTTCTTTTTTCCCTCCTTTAGAGCAGAGATGCCTATGACCTTTTGGGTTACACACGGGAGATGGGTGAGAAGATCCAAGAGAAATGGACAAACCCAGAGGTACCAATGCTTTTATTTGCAAAGCAGACGTTAAGAGGCAAATGTTTGTCCATGTTTTCTCTGATAAAACTATTGTTTACTAGAAACAATGGCCATTAAATGAACCAAATTAATACAAGAAATGCTCCACGTGATAAAAATGCTTACCTCTCATCACAGTTGTTGTCCCATGATGTGAAGCTCTGCTGGGTTCACTTCAGTTATTTAACTGTTGGGGTGTTCTTATTTGCTCCTTTGTCCTTCTCATCATTGTCCCCAAATGCTCCCAACGGGAGAGGTTGGGCAGCTGACCGCTGAACTTATTTCCATGGCAACAGAGCTGATTCTCTTGTTCTAAAAGGGGTCTTTGTCACCTACTGATATCTGATATATTATATGTATATATATTAGGACGATATATCGCAATACTTTCTCCCTCGATTCGATTACCGATATGCATTTGCCAAGTATCAATACTTAATATATGGCTACGCATCTCCATTTCGTTTATCATGAAATAAAGTGTATTTTTTTCCACTTAACATTTTTCTTTTATTTATGCCATAAATTGGAATATGGTATATTTCTGACCAATGTATCGATAATCGTCATATCGTGATAAAATTATCATATTATCGTTATCGTGAGCTTTGTATCGTGCATCGTATCGTATCGTAAGGTACCCTTAGGTTCCCACCCCTAAAATATAATATATATATATATATATATATATATATATATATAAAATTGATACACAGGTCCCTGACAGTTGCTGTCATCTAGAAATCAATTCCAATGGTATTTTGTGTAATTTTTTTTTATTCAGCCCACTTTCTATGTCTAAATTGCATGGATTGGATGGTGAAAGTCTGCCTGTCCAGAGTGTAGCAGTCATGCTTATATCAAACTTTTGCCTTGGTTGTTGTATCAAGAGGCATCACTGACATTGGATTTACAGTACTGTAATCTGGTCAAACATCTAACAACTACATATAACCCAGGTAATATTTATCATTCTCTTCACCTTCCTCTCCATTTTCTTTATGTCTCTGCCAAAACATAAGTCAGAAAGTATTGCACAGTATTGTGTTTCCACGACTGAGTAAACGGCATAAACACTTTGTAATACACCTTGTAGATTTTGGAAGTATATAGATATTGACCAGCCAGACTACATGCTTTTTAGTTCCTCTTCAAGAATCAGAGACAGGGTTCCGTGGTCTCAGCTATTTACCAGTAGGCTTGATTGACAGGTGGGATCAACAACAGGTTTGGCAAACCACGGAGGATTGACACGTCTGTCGGTGCAAATAAGAACAACAGTGGAACACACACAATCTTTAATGTTGTAAAAAAGTACGACAGCTTCCCTATTTTGCTGCAAAAAAAATCCTGCCTCTCATTCTGATTGGAGCAATAGGTGATTAAATGTGAAATGATTGACTGTAAGCTCCCGTCCACAGTTCATCTTTTGAACCGACAGAAATGGCATCTTCCCTACTTTTTCTGCTTTCTTTATTGCTGCCTGGGCTTAGGGAGCTGTCTGCCAATGGCACACTTCCCTCTGCCCCTCCTGCATCTGTGTTGCCAGAGGTTGCCACTTGCCAGGTATGCATGGTTTCAATGGTTGTTTCGTTGTTTTCTCTTTTCTATCCTTTAGTCTTTCCATTGTGTTTGTGAGTGTGGCAGCTGACTTTCTTTTCTCTAGATCTACATTTTCAAGGTTGACTGCTTGTAAAAAACAGTGAATGAAAATTCAAAATGATGTCTTGCTTGTTAGATGACAGCTTGCTGAAGGTTAAACCAAAAAGTTGCTTTATTTTTGTGATCATTATTTTTCACGTTAACAGCAGTGGATCTTGGCTAAGAGTACAGACAGTAGTTCAGGGGGGAGCAGGGGGTGATGCCAAGATGTGTCGCAGGGATGAATAGTAATGCAGATGGCTGCTTGTCATTGTTAAATAATACACTACTGCCCACATTTTTTGGTAATGGGTAGAAAATGAATGTCAAGTAGGACTAATTAGTATTAAATTGGGTTTTTACATTTGGTCCATTCACATGTGCACTTGACCCGCATTTCTCAGACATTCACAAGTGGATGGGCACTTTCATCTTTCTTTGTTTGGGAAGCATTATTTTTATTTTGTTTATGCAGGAGTACATATTTTTTTCAGGAATTTTAAAATAAAATGTTACCAAAAGGAAGATTCCTTTAAAAGTTTATGTTTGAATGTGTCCAAGTAATTTCCCCTGTGGATCAAAGTTCCAGTAATGATATTTCTCTGCCAACTGTCTGGTGCTCACTGGGGTAGTCTTCATGCACAGTTTTTCCAATGTGGTTTTACTGCAAATGGCAAATAAATGAGTCTGAATCTGAATCTGAATTGAATGCATCTATGAACAAAACTAACTAGTATACTTGCTGAAAACACAAAATAAACCATGCATTGCTCCATTAGCCTGAAGGTGCTACAAGAAAACCCACCGGGATGCTCCGCTCTGCTTGATGGCTGCAACTGTGACCTGACCTTGGGCCCTTAATGCAGGAGATTGTGAGAGGTAGCTGACCACCTTTCTCCCCTGTGGAGTTCCTCTATTACCATACGTAAATTTCACAACTGCCCCAAGGACTTATCCGACATTTACCATGATATTAAGTCATAAAATCACTTTCCTTCTATCACCTTCGAAGTGGGACTGTTTTCTAATGTTGTGGCTGTCCTTATTGCATTTCCTGAATGTTATTGCTTTTTAAAATACTTGACAGGAACCTATCACATATAAATTGACGACACCAAACTATGGTGATATATGTTGAAGAGTGAAAAAAGAGGCAAGGGCTGTAGGAAAAGATTTAACCCTTTGCTGGGGATTTTATTAAAGTGGGTCTGCTTAATTATGCATTTAGCCTCAGGTGTGTGGATTTAATCTCTCCGCTCATATCGGCACTCTCACAGGGACTCAGATATAATGCAAAGACTGAGACGAGGGGCTCAGTGCTGAGGTAAGACATGACTGTACGTGGTTTATCTGAAAAAAATGAAATTGTAATTTGCAGTAAAAATGTAGAACGTTTTTTTGCCATAAACTAAAAGCAGCTTCTTGTAACAGTAGTCTTAAGTGGATCTATGTTCCTCTCTTGTTTCCATCCATCCATCCATCCATTTTCTTCCCCTTAATCCATTTCTGGGTTGGGGGGGTGGCAGTCAGAGCTGCACCCAGTACACAGAGAACCAGCCCCTCACTGATCCTCCTGCAGGTGGTGAGTCCACAGGAGCCTTGTGCCATGTCCACACATTTTTAAAACCCAAATATTCCCCCCCTCCGTATATAAAATAATTTGCATCCACACATAACCGAACATCTGCGTTTTCAATCACAATCATAACATTCCCAACATGTGCCACAAAAGTGGGCGGAGCTTTGATGCCGATGCCGGTACTTCTGTAGCGGCACTTTTACAGTCACAGAAGAAACTCAGGGTAAAGACATATGTTCACAAGCACTGACCCCTGTCCTCAGCCCAGGTTTAGTCCTGGTTTAGCTCCTGTTTTGGTTGTTTTCGAGCGTGAGTCACTCTGCTGCTCTCTGATGTGGAGGATGTTCGCAGCTGCGAACCGCTCGCAGCAGAGAACAGTTTTTAAGGCAGTCAGATCCATGCTTCTTCAGTGATCAGAGGTTGCATGTTTTGTTTGTTGTTTTGGGGGCATACTGTGACGTGCGAAAAAAGCAAAACTCTGTTTATGCATTTGCGTGTAGACAGAGATAACCGGAGTTTTCAAAAATCTCCACTTTGCCCGGAGGTTTTTTAAATATTCGTTTATGATGCGTTGTCATGTGGATGACAGGTGCAAACAAAAATTATCTGCAGTTTAGCAGATACCCGGCTACGTGTGGACGGGGCCTTGATCTTCCAGCGGGAGTTTTGGTCAAAGTGTCTTTCCCAAGGACACAACAATAGCAGTCATCAATGAGAGTTGTGAAGTAGGTCCCGCGGTAGATTTGAACCTACGACCTTCAGGCTCAAATGTCAATGCTCTACCAACTGAGCTATACAAACCATTTATGGCCTTTTTTGATCAAAATTCTTCATAAAACAATTTACATGATGACATTCATTATATTTATGTTGTATTTTAATGTTAGCTCTCCAATCAGAAAGTAGAATTAGCATCACATGAGTCTAGAGCACATCAGAAACCACTCGTGCAGGAGCACTTGTGCAGGGCAAGACGGTTATAAAACCAGTAAGAACAAAATTACATACTGTTTCTTTGAAAAATACCCTTTATACCCTAATTTAGGGTAATTTTCCACTTTCTTTTAATCACTGTGGCACACATTTTGACCCGAGATTTAGGGCTTTATATTATGGCTTTTGCATTTTGTGTTCCAAACCAAAGCACCAGGGCACCAGTTTATACAGAAAGTGTCCTCAGAGTGACCTTGAAATATTTATTAGGCAGTACATAAAATGAGTGCACAGTGCATACATAAAAGGCTTTGGCACAGAAAGCAACATTCACAACCTTCTTACTGGACTTTGTGATTGATTATGTCTTCACACTAGCTTTGGTTCATTTGTCTTTCCTTTCTTCATAAAATCTACAAGAGTAGGCGACACATTAGGTCTGTCTTAGGCTCAGCAGACACAGGAGGCATGAAAGGACTCGGCTGGCGCAATTCCGTTTATATATATTTTTTCCCTTTTTTTCATATTGTCGTCTACCTCCCACTGCTCCTCAACTCCACATTGCTCTTGAAGTCTGTCATCCCCGTTCTATCTCCTCTCGCAGCATTTTAATTGAATTACTTGCTATCACTCTGAGAAAGTTACTTGGCTGACATTGCTTTGGTTCAAAAACCTATAAATGGTGGTGGATTTTATAAATTGGTCCCAAAAAGCTGCTCAATAATTTACCGGTATATTTTACTTTGAGATGACTCTATTGGACATTTTAAGATGTTTTGTGGATTTGGTTTTTGGGGGTAATCTGTGTGATGTAGCAGAAGGGAGT